GACTCTTCAAAAGGACTCCAAGATACTTTTTTAAAATGATTGAAGAACTCGAAAGACTTAACTCTTAACTTTACCTTGAATTTGAATTATAAATTCAAGGTTTATGATTATGTTATGAATGATTTCTAGGTGTTTGGAATTAGTTTATAGTGATTAGAGTCAAAGGGAGTGAACATACACTTTAAATGAGCTCAAATTGGACAATTGACAGAAAAAGAGTGGGGCAGACGACCCTAACATCAGAGGTTACATATGGGTGCACTGCACGAGCATCACCCCATCCCCTTGGGCGCATCTAGGATGTGCCGCGCAAAAAATCTTTCCAGACCTAATTCGATGAATTTTGCCTCTCATTTTTTTTTACCCTAAATCGCTTTTATTCAATTTATTTTTTCAAGTTTTTCTTAGATTCAATTAACCAACTAGTACACACTAATCCATTTAAAAGAACACTCAAAATAATCACTTTCATCTCATGAAATCCTAAAACACCCCAACAAAACAAGATTTAGAATGAACTTCAAGAACACCTATCAAAAACTTAAATCCTTCAACTTTTGAGAGTGGAATCACGCTGAAAATAAAAAGTTTGGCGTGTGGTTGAACAAATCAAAAACTATGGAAGCTTTCATACCTTTTCAAGATTAAAAATATGGTTAAATTTCGCAACAAGACGCAAAAATCGCAACGAACTTTTGACCTCTCCTCTTTTCTCCTCTTTTATCTTATTTTCTCTTCTTGAACTCTCAACTAAAACCCTAGACATATATTAGGATTATAAAACTGAACTTAAAAGGATTAGACCCTAAACCTTACTAAAAACGAAATTACTAAAGTGGAAGAAAACCTTATACTTTATAAAGTGGAACTTTTTATTACACTTTATAAAGTGTAACTTTTTATTACACTTTATAAGAGGAATATTTTCACGTTTTGAAGAATACTTGAGTCTGCTAAATCCGAAAGAAATTACTAAAATAAAATCACAGAAATAGTAATCAATCACCCGAACAGTGTTGGCGAAGTAGCATTTGAACAAGTAAACAATCACTGGAAAGAAAGGCCATTGATAATTTCCTTGGGAATATGCTGTAATTATACTTTGTGAAAGGAATTGGTTATAACACACACACAAAAAAAATCTACATTAAATTAGCTGTTAGACTCCCTATATGTCTAGTATGTGATATTGTTTTTTTTTTTAATTTTCCAGATTGTACATAGCTCCCAACATATCCTTAGTATTGTTTTTTTTTACTTTGCCAGATTAGCTTCAGGTGTTTACATCATTATATTTTGATTCATTCTATTGTAGTTAATAATAAGATAAAAATAAATTAGAGTATAACTTTGTGGTTTAATATCATTTTCAAAGATGTTTAATATCATTTCGTCAAAGCTAATGGGTATCTTAATGAACTCTCACAAAATTCAAAAAATTTAACTTTACTATACTATTCAAAATTCCAATCTCCTTTTTAACGTAAGGTCAAAAATTGGACCATAGGAATATTTCTTTCATAATTTATTTTCAAATTTAATACAACATAGATATTGAGCAACTAATCCTCTTATGAACTTCAATAATTATCTCACTAACAAGCAGAAATGAAATCTAAATTAGGAATACGGAGGAATGTTAAATCAGCTCTTTTTTCCCCAATATTTTTACTATTCCATTGTAAAATAAAATTAAAATAATTTAAGAACATGTAAGTTAAAATTTACTCCGTGAATCAGAACCATTAGGCAAAATGATACTATACTAGACACAAGATGAGATAAATGAAACACATTCGAAGTAAAAAAATTATGAGATGTTAAAGAAATACCTAATTTATATAATTTATAGGGACGAATTGTTATGTTTTCGGGTTGTGCTACTCCAAAAATTTGATTTATTTAGTGTGGGGCCGCCTCAGTTGTTGGATTGGGACCATCAATGTTAATCTTCAAAGTGTAAAAAAGCTTAGAAGCCATGAAAGGGAAAGAGAGAAGGAGAAGGTGAGAAGGTAAAATAATTTTCTATAAAATGAAAGATAAAGTTCCACTTTATAAAGTGTAAGAAAAAGTTCCGTTATACGTTAAAGATACACATCATTACACTAACGAAAAACGTTTAGAAAATTAGATAAAGTGAAATTTTTTCTTCCACTAAGCTTATTTTAGTTAGAAACTAAAATAGTGATTTATTTTGGTCATTTTTATATTTTTGTTGCTTATTTAGGTTTCCGACTCTTCATAAAATTTACTTTGCTAAGCATTAAAACTACATGCCTAATATGATCCTATTTTCCAATTTACACTTTTGCCCATAGAAGAAGTATCAGTGTATTAAGTGGAATGAACATGTCTGTTTTTGGGGATTAATTTTATCTATTAAGGATTTTTTGGTCATTGCTCACAGCCTCCCATCCCTTTCCTTTTCAATTCTCATATAGCCAAACAGGGAATTGGTTCTTCAAAAGCTCTTTTCAATTCTCTCAAAGGAAAGAAAAAGGTATTAACTTTCATATTTCATTCTTCCATTTTGCTTCAAATAATTACTTTTGGGTTTTCGTCTTTCGTAGTGTCTGCTTCAATTTTCAGGTAATTTTCGTTTTTAGCTTCGGCTTTTCCTTTTTAAATTTTTGAATTGTTGCTGAACTCTTCTTAGTTTTCGAATTGTTGTGTTTTAAGTGTATGTATTGCGTGTCTCGATCTGAAAATCCTTATGGGTGTCTGTTTAATTTCTTGTACAAACTCAATTTACGGTGGTTCATAAATTCTTTATACTTTTATCCTATGTGAAATTCAATACTTAGTTTCCTTTATGCTTTTATTTTTGATTTTTATGATACTTTTGACAAAGTTAGCTCATAAAGCTTGAACTGATCCACCGTTGATGATCGACATAAGAGAAAGGAGAGAAACTGATTTGTACTTTTTTATAAACTGAATGAATATCAAAACTGAATTACAGTGAAATAGTGTATGTTATCTATTTATATAGATAGATGGTTCTAGAATAATATAGTTGGGATTTATAACAAATTGTCTAACTAACACTAATATATAAATGAAATGAATAACTAACTTTATGAAAATGGAGTTCTCAATACCACCCTCAAGTTGAAGGTGATGCAATCAATGCCAACTTGGATAACATATTAGAGTGTTTGATTCCAGACAATGCTTTAGTGAGTATATCAACTAACTGTTGAGTAGTGCCAACATGATGTAGAGTAATAAGACCTTCTTGAAGTTTAGTCCGGACAAAGTGACAATCTATCTCGATGTGCTTGGTTTGCTCATGAAGAACATGATTTCGTACAATGTGTAAGGCAGATTGACTATCACAAAACACACGAAATGGCTCAGTGCTAGGAACAGTCAGTTCATCAAACAGTCTTTGCAACCATACTAATTCACCAACAACCTTTCTAAGTGATCTGTATTCTGCCTCAGCTGAAGACAAGGAAATAGTTTCTTATTTCTTGGACTTCCAGCTCACTGGACTATTACCAAGCAGAACCACATACCCACTAACAGATTTTCTAGAGTCGGGGCAGGATGCCCAGTCTGAATCACAAAAGGCTCTCACTATATAATCATCTGTATTGGACATGGAAATACCTAAGGTTGGATCTTGCTTCAGATATCTCAACATGTGAAAAGCTGCTTGTAGATGAGGCTCTCTAGGTGCATGCATGAATTGACTTAAGTGTTGTACCCCATAGACAATGTTTTGTCTAGTATTTGTGAGGAAGTTAAGCTTACCTACGAGCTTTCTGTAATAAGCAGGATCTGAAAGTAATGAACCTTCTTCAGCTCTCAGCTTGATTAATGGATCAAGAGGTGATCACAAAGGTGTGAAATGACTGCAATTATATTCCATGAGCAGAACCAAAGTAAACTTTCTTTGAGAAATGAGAATGCCATATTCCTTATACAATACCTCTAAACCAAGAAAATAGTGTAACCTCCCCAAGTCTTTTATCTTGAAAGTCTCATGCAGAAAAGTCTTCATATTTTTATCTCTATGAGATCAGTACCAGTGATAAGTACATCATCCACATATATAGCTACAAACACCATTGAAGAACTTGATTTTTTATGAAATAAAGAATAATCATTCATGGAATGAGTGTATCCTCTAGAGTTGAGAGCATCAGTTAACTTTGCATACCATTGTCTGCTGGCCTGTTTCACGCCATATAAAGATTTATTCAATTTGCAAACAAGATTAGGATTGCCAGTATCTAACCCTTGTGGTATATCCATGTAAACTTCCTCCAATAAATCCCCATGAAGAAAAGCATTATTGACATCCAGTTGAAATATATCCCAATGTTTCTTGGCTGCAGTAGCAAGCAAAGCTCTGACTGTTGTCATTTTTACAACTGGGGAAAATGTTTCATTGTAGTCAACTCCAGCATGTTGGGTATAACCATTCACAACTAACCTGACTTTCAGTGTTTCTATAGTACCATCTGCTTTATGTTTGATCTTGTACACCCATTTACATCCAATAGGTTTCTTCCCAGATGGTAAGGGAACTAGGTCCCATGTATGATTTTTATGCAATGCATTAAATTCTTGTGTCATGGCTGTTTTCCATGCAGGATTCATGGCTTCTTCTTCATAAGATAGTGGTTCACATTCATGAGAGATATTCATTACAAAAGACTGACTAGAAGGTGTCAAATCCTGAGGGGCAATATGACTGTTGTGTGTAAAAGAAGTACAAAGGGAGAGTGAAGTAGTTTTGGGGGCTAGGTGAATGTAATATTTTAGGTAAGATGTTGTTTTGTGAATTCTGGTTGACTTTCTAGGAACATGCGCAACTTTAGGAGAATTAGAAGAAGGATGTGTTAAACTAGTAGTTTCAACAGAACTAGATGTTATAGGTGATATTGGTATCAGAGCTTTAGAGGTTTTTTTTTAATCTCTGCTCAATTTCATATATGTTAATTGTTCATCTTCAATTTCATTTTTTTCTCTCTTCTTCAATTCGCACAATGATTGAAGTTGTGAATTACGTTGTTGGGTCCTCATCCTCTGTTCCAGCTCCCACCAATTTTGATGCTGGAAGCCCACTATACATCCACCCCTCTGACAACACATGTTCAGTGCTTGTTCCTGTACCATTTGATGGTGTTGGTTTTTGATCATGGAAGAGAAGTGTGTTGCGTTCACTTTTAGTAAAGAACAAGTTAAGGTTTATCAATGGAGAATGCATGAAACCAAGCCCACAATCTCCTGATTATCGTCAATTGGAGAGATCTGATGCCATGGTTACCTCCTGGATACTGAATTCCTTAAGCAAGGACATTACAGATAGTGTATAGTAGGTGTTTGATTCATTGGAGTTGTGGAGTGAATTACAGGATCGATATGATCAGACCAATGGCGCTAAGCTGTATCAAATTCAAAAGGAAATTAATGACCTCAATCAAGGTATTCTGGACATCACCTCCTACTACACAAGAATGAAGAAACTCTGGGAAGAACTCACCACACTAAGTGCTAAGAGTATTTGTAGTTGTACTTGTACATGTGGTGCTAAAGAGACAATGCATAAGGCTGAGCAGGATAGACGACTCATTCAGTTTCTCATGGGTCTTAATGAGGTTTATACCATCATTCGAGGAAACATGCTGATGATGAACCCTTTACCTTCTATGGGACAAGCTTTTGCTCTTTTGGTTCAAGAAGAAAAACAAAGAGAGTTCAAACCAAACAATCAATTTTCTGCAGACTCCTCTTCTTCCCTGAATGTTAGTTCCAGTTCTTCACGAAACTCTGGAGGTCCTTCAGGTGTGCGAGGTTTCCAAATCAACTATGCCAACAGTAATGTAAGGACAAGGCCTTATGGTGATCATTGTAAAAGAGTTGGACACACAAAGGACAGGTGCTACAAGATCCATGGATATCCTAGCAGACCAAATGCCAATTCAGGACCTAATAACCAGCCTTACAATAACTATCCACCAAGAAATCAATACAACCAGAATCAAAACTCTAATCCTTCCCAGTATAAAGGGCACAAAGGTAAAGGTACTGTAGCAAATGTTCATGGAGAACTGCTAGAGAAGGGTGAATCTAGCGCTCAGAGCGGTCCTGTAGGTGCTTTGTCTCAGGAACAATATCATCATTTGGTCAGCATGTTGTAGTAGTTTCAAGGAGGAAACATGGGGATGGATCTGCATCTAATACGCTAACACCCGATAATGGATCTGTCAACTTTGCAGGTATAATTGCTTGCAATTTCTCTGTAGATTTTGATAAACTTTCATGTGGATGTTTCAAAGAAAAAACTGATTCTTGAATCTTAGACTCAGGGGCTACTCATCATACTATATCCAATGCTTGTTAGAAATGGTTATAGAGTCAAAGTAACACAAGTTGGAGAAGTGAGGCTAACCTTTGAGATCACATTGTCAAATGTTCTTTTGATACCTACTTTCAAGTATAATTTGATTTCCATCAGTTCCTTGAATAAACATCTTCACTGTATCACTATCTTCACTAATTCACTTTGTCTACTACAGGGCCCTTCACTGAAGAGGCCTCTGGAGATTGGTAAGATACATGATGGGCTGTACTTTCTTTGTTCAAAGTGCCTACAAAAGAACAATTCTATTCCTCAACAGAATCACACTTTTCCTTGTCTTTCATCTCAGGTACTCAACACAAACAAACCACAATATTCATCTAGTTCCTATTTCTGTTTCCCTAGTACAGATATAAAGAACTGCATTGTTGCTTCTGATCCTGTTGTAAAGGATACAATTGTTACTAATAAAAATAGTGATAATTCTTGTTTCACTTCTTTTATATCTCATGCAAATGCTGCTGACTTGTTATGGCATTTTAGGCTTGGTCATGTTCCCTTTGTGAAGATGAGAGGGTTAACTTCAATACCAGTGAAATTCTCAACCAAACAACCTTTTTTTTTGTCCAATTTGTCCTATGGCTAGGCAAACCAGGTTACCATTTCCCATCAAAACCTCACAGTCCACTAAATGTTTTGATTTGTTGCACATTGATCTATGGGGACCCTACTACACCAAGACATACAATAACTTCAGTTATTTCATCACTTTAGTAGATGATTGCAGTAGGGCTATGTGGACCTAACTCTTAAGGAGTAAAAGTAATGCATTACCTGTAGTGAAGTCGTTTATCTTCATGGTTGAAAATCAGTTTCAAACCTCAATAAAAACAATCAGATCAGACAATGGATTAGAATTCTAAAACACTAAAGCCAATTTATTTTTTTAATCGAAAGGTATCATTCACCAGAAAACTTGCCCACACACACCACAACAAAATGGTGTAGTGGAAAGAAAACACAAATATCTACTTGAAACAGCCAGAGCACTCCTTTTTCAATCTAAACTACCAATAAAATATTGGGGGGAATGCATTTTAACAGCCACTTACATCATCAATAGATTACCCTCACATACCTTGAACAATAAATGTCCTGTTGAAGTATTACACCAACGAAAACCATCATATTCACACATGAGAAGTTTTGGTTGCCTATGTTATCCTACCATACCTAAAACACAGAGAACCAAATTTGACCCTAAAACTAGTTCTCATATCTTCATAGGATATCCTCCTAACGCAAAAGGATACAAAGTACTAAGTCTATCTACTAAAAAGATCCATGTTTCCAGGGATGTGGTGTTTCATGAGACAATATTTCCTTTTTCTTTGACAAAAAAATACTACTGCTTTTCCTGCATCTCCATTTTTTCATTCTGATATTCCTTCTTTTTCTTCATTATATCCTGATCATGTTTCACCTCATCCTAATCCTGCACAACGTGCTCCTATATCACCTCACACTAATCTTGAACAATGTGATCAAAGAGCTTTGATACCATGACAAAGTTAGATCATAAAGCTTGAACTGATCCACCATTGATGATCGACATAAGAGAAAGGAGAGAAACTGATTTGTACTTTTTTATAAACTGAATGAATATCAAAACTGAATTACAATGAAACAGTGTATGCTATCTATTTATACAGATAGTTGGTTCTAGAATAATACAGTTGGGATTTATAACAAATTGTCTAACTAACACTAATATATAACTGAAATGAATAACTAACTTTATGAAAATGGAGTTCTCAATAACTTTATTATATCATTTTGAATTGTTTGATTGAATTTGAAAAAGTTCACCACCTTCTTAGTAAATAGCACAATCAAGACAGGTTCTTTCGTCTCCTAGACTTCACATATGAGTGAGTAAATGCATTATCTGGTTCTACAACTTGAGGATTAGTGCTTTCGATTCTATTGTAGGTCGTGCGTTTCTTTCAAAAATACAAATGTTGACGTTGCAGTTCAATCCAATATGTGGAGCAGTAGTGGTAATGTCAATTGAGAATCGATGATCCAATTTTGGTCATGGAGTTAACATTAGTACTCTCAATCTGTCTTTCTGAGAACATTAACTTTGGATTAGGAAATGATGATTATGCCTTTGATTGAGTACTTTTTATTATTATGCTAGTTTAATTTATGTGTTTGATATAAATATTTCACATCGATCAATACAATTATATATAAAAATAAGAATTGATGTTAAAATATTATATCTATTTAAATGATATAAATAAATATTATATCTCAATAATTTTTATTTGTCTATGACATTAAAAATATTTTTTTAAATTTTTTTATTAGTTATTTTTAAAATTATTTTGCAATATCTAAGATTAAACATTTATTAATATAAGTATTGACATACTCATGTCAATTGGTATTTCTTAAAGGCGTTGATGGTACAAATTGAACAAGTAAATAAAAACCCACAAAAATTTTGAATTTTAGATTTTTATTATATATTTAACTTTTTTCTTTTATATTTCTTTAAAGAAACATTTTTCTTTTGATTAACATTTCCATTTTATAGTTGGTGAGGATACAAATCGAGAAAGTTGATGAATAAAAGAGAACCAGAAGATAAATGATAATTGATTGCATTTAAATAAAAAATAAGAGTCCATTGCAATTTATATATAAGAAAATAAAATAAAAAGGAAAATGCACAAGTACCCCCTCAACCTATGTCCAAAATCTCAAAGACTACTAAGGTCATGTTACCCTCCTCAACTTATTTTATAAGTAATTTTCTACCCCTTTTTGGCTTACGCGATACTAATTTTAAAAAAAAATTAACCAGTGTTAAGCCCACAAGATAGTGTCACGTAGGTTAAAAAGAGGTAGAAAATTATTAATAAAATAAGTTCAGAAGGTAAGTATAAGTGTGTCTCTGAGATTTCGGACATATATTGAGGGATACTTGTACATTATCCCTAAAATGAATAATGAATAAAATAGGAGAATGTGACATTTTCAAATATAATCTTAAGAACATTGTAATTCTTCTAATAGAAAACACGCTTAATAATAAAGTGCGAAATCGAAATGCAACTGACAAAATTTGATACATAATTTAAGTTGTAGCTCTCATAAAACAACCGAAATCAAATAGTACAAATCTAATAACCCACACATATCTTAAACTCAAACTTTGAATACATAATTTAATTTAAGTTTTAATTCGAAAAAAGATTGAATAATTTTGAAGATTTTTGTATTTTCAAGAGATTATATCTGAGTAATTAAGTATTTCGAATTTTTTTTCTTTGCTAGATCGATCAATGGTGCATTTAAAACACACCGACTACTATGATTGCTGCAACTTTACTGAAAATAATAGCCGGAAAGCATGTGCTATATAACTAGGCCTTATATTTGCATAAAATTATGAATAAATTTTTAAAATTATATAATTTTAATATGAAATTACGATCTAATCATTTTTAATTTGTAATACATCAATCCCTTAAAATTATTACTCCTTTGGTTCCATTTACCTTACACTCTTCCATTTTTAGTTAATCTTTTAAATAATGACATTTTTTAATATTTAGCAAAAGTTTAATTTCAAATTTTTTATTTTATTTTTAATAAAATAATTTATAATCACAAAAATTGTTATATAGAAAATACTAAAAACCATATAATATCGACATCTTTTCTTATGTTTCTCTTAAATGTTATAATTAGTCAAGTACTTTCACGTTATTTGGAAAAGAATTACCTAAGTAAATGTTCTTTTTTATCTAAGTGCTTGCACTGATAAAGGTTCAAATTTTTCTCAAGTATTCATCAGAATTCCATCTGAATAATTAGACTCTACGCTTTGGATCATGCAATTGCGAAATTATAGATCATTTCGTTCCAACATTGAATCTTGATAGAGAGTACTTTATTCTTAGTGAACATAATTACTATGAATTTAGAATAATTGATTTTTTAAACTTCGAATACTGAATATTTTTAAAATGTAATATATACCTAATCTGATATGCATGAAAAGACAACAAGGCAACTTATTTTTAGTTGGATCACAATTATCTTGTAGGATTTTTAGTTTTTTAGCTTTTCTAGGGGTGTTAAATGGGCGGGTTGGGTTACAATTGGAGATATTAAAATAAGTTGAAATTGAAATCGGATTGTGTCTTGACCAGTCCAAGTTTACTTTGGGCTCAATGTGCTAAAAACGGGTTAAGTCTTAACCCACTCAATTTTACCCCATTAATCTCAATAATTTCAACATAGTTATATTTATCTTTTATAATCACAATTCAAATTTCATATCAAAGTTTTTTTTTAAAAGAGTAACAAATTAAATGGATAGATAAAATTCTAAAAGATGTTAATTAGATTATAATCATACCTTTATAGGAATATATTGTAGTATAGAGTTTTTAAAATGGATTGAAATTGGAACTTTAATTAAGCTCAATTTAGAATTCTCTTAAAATATGTTAGGCTTGAATGAGTTGAGATTATATACAATTCAAATTATTTTGAGCCCAATCCTTAGAATTTTGGACGAATTGAACGGATTACCTATATTTGTGTTCATTTTTGACACCCCTAAAAATTTTCCTTAATACTATTCCCTTTTGTATCCATTAAAATCCTCACCATTCCTTGAATCTCCTCTCTTCACCAGTTTTGAAACTATGATGAGTAGTATTGGGATGGTGGCAAATGGGCGGGTTGGATAAAATGTGGGCAGATTGTAAATGGGTAATAATTCAACCCTCCCCCATATTTGATATGGGTAAAAATTGATTAGATAATAAATGAGTCAGGTAAAATACTGTTTTACCTATATTTTCATGAATAAATAATACTTTAGTTAAGGATTCAATATGAAGAGATATTTAATCTTTTTTTAGATGAAAAATGATGAAAATGCTTTATTTAGTTTTATTATATCATAAAATTCTATAACTTTTCAATATAAAATAAATTTATGTAATAACAAGATGAAAATATTTTTCATTTCAAAGTAAATGAATATTTGCATTTTAGGACTAAAACATGCTTAATGCACTTTAGACAATGTCAATAATAATACATAATTTGTTTATTTTTACACTATTATTGATTATCCAATATAAAATTAATTTTTTTTTAAAAAGAGAGAGATTATAATTAACAAAAAAATGTCCATTTGAATTATATATTTTTTGAGAGTCAAAGACTTCACCTTTTCAATTATAGAGAATAGTTAGTTCTATAGAATAACATAAAAAAAAAAGAAATTACATTATTTTTAGTGATATCATCAATTTTGAGTAAACAAAAGTCAAAAGCTTAACTCATTTAACTAATTCATATTTTACACATGTGAAAATTACTCATCCAACAATTAAAATATGAAAGATTTTAACGAATCACCAAAATTTTGGCTTATTTTACCGACACTAACGGAATTAAATGTTCCATGGGAAGGCTTGACACTATAGCAACATGAAGTTGTTTGTTATCCATGGAAAAAATAGAATTAAACACTATTGGTAGGAGTGGAAAAGAGAACAATTAAAAAGTTAATGAATTTTACAAAGTTTGAAAAAAATCATAAACGGAAAA